TAATAACCTTTTATATGCTCGTTGATATTTAGGATATTATGCCTTATTCATTACATTGATTGTTCTAAGGGCACATCTTTACTTATTTCATCATCTTCAACTTATATGTAACTCACTTATATTTGACGTAATGCAAAATATCTCATGCAATTTTACACTATTCTAGCTTTGATGTCTTTCTAGCTATAACTATGGGAACAATTCCAATCAAACGATCATCTATAATCTCTCAATTCACGTCTTTCACAAAACCTCTTCACCAAAAAACGTAAACTTTCTCTCTTTTAAAAATCTCCAATGGCTAACTGGAACTCAGCCTACAGTGTTGGTTCCCTCACCAAACCTCCAACTCTTCAAAGAGAAGAGTACCCATAATGGAGGATACGAATGGTGAATTTTCTGGAAGGGATGGACAGAAATCTTCTGCGATCTGTCATGGAGGGTCCTTATGTTCCACAAACTCTTGTTCCAAGAGTTCCAGGAACAAATACAACAGTAGAAATTCCCGCCTACTACATGCCCAAGGACGAGAAAAATTGGGGTAAAGACGACATAGAGCGGGTTGAGACCGACAAAAAGGCCAAAAGACTAATAACTATGGCCATACCCAATGCAATCTTCCAATACCTTGACGCATGTTCCACAACCAAGGAACTATGGGATGAGCTAGCAAGCCAATTGGAAGGAGGGGCAAAAACGAAGAAGAATCGTAGAGCTCAATGTCTCAACGAATACACTAACTTCAAGGCCCTTCCAGATGAACCGATACAGAAGACGTATGATCGTTTCAACACATTGATTAATCAATGTCGCCGAAACGATATCTCCAGAACAAAGGAAGAAACACAATGTTTTGTTCCTTAAAAGTCTCGGCGATTAATGGACACAACTGTCAATGTCCCTACAAGAAAATTAGGACTTAGACGGCTGGTCACTCCATGACGTATACAGAACGCTTGCTGCACAAGAGAACGACATCTTGAAGAAAAAGGTGTCCATCGATAAACCCCTGGCTCTAGCAGCTGAAGAAAAGGAAGTTTCAAGGACATCCACCAAAGACCACAAGAAGAAAGGAAAGAAAGCACTAGTGGCGGAATCAGAGTCTGAAGATGAAACATCTGAATCAGATGATGATATCAAAGCCTTTGCCAAATCTCTGGCCTTGATTACAAAGCAGTTCCAGAAAAAGTTCATCAAGAAATCCTATGAACGAAGAAAGTTCAAGAGGGAGAGGTACCAGCCATCCTATGAAAAGAGGCCATCTAAATTCCATCATAGGGAAGACAGAAGAGATGGAAGAGAGGAGAGAGAAGAAAGAAGAAAAGAAAGAAGAGAGGAGAAGAGAGAGGACAATGATGGAAGGAAAAATGACCTCCGCTGCTTCAGGTGAGGAAAAATCGGTCATTTTTCCAAAGAATGCAGAGGACGACTGGTAAAGGATGCTGACTACTACAAGAATAAATACAAGTACAACCCTAGAGAGCGAAGC